TTTACTACAAATATATGAATGAAAGATTAAGTTCAGGAAGTTCTGAAAAATTATAATCTTAAAGAATTTAAATTTAGATTTGGAATAATCAATAGATTTATTAATAACAATTTCGAATATAATAAAGATAATCGAAAAGATAATAAGAAGGGTAATGAAGGAGGAGATTCTAATAATAATAATAATAATGATGGTAATAAAAAGAATAATAGAGATTGATATAATAGGGATAAGAAATTATTGATATATTCTAATATACAATTTCTTATCAGTTTATCGAAATTCTATACCAATAAAGAGAAATATAACAGGAACAACAATAATTTCGACTTCAAACTCTCGATATTCTACGAAATCTTATAATATGCGAAGATGCCTATGGATATACAATACAAGGTATTCCCAATTATACTAAAAAACAACATGCTCGAGTTCTTTTATATCAACTACAAAGTACTATTATCTACATTCAGAGAGCTTTACACTTATATACAAAGTAACTTTAAGAGAGAAGAGTATCAACACAATATGCTATCTAAATGAAACAGTATTACTCTTAAATCGATTAAAAAGGAGTATAAAAACAAGCCATTTAATAAGTATCTTACTATTATGATCAAATAGCTATATATGCTACAGTATCGACTTGATCCCGCTATACGGCAGATATCATATTTATACAATAAGCTTATACTAATATATAAAGACATTAAGATATACAACCTAACTTGTTTCGACCCCAAAAAGGAGGTGTCTGATTTAATTAATCAATTGTAATAATCTATTAATACATGAAAGAGATTATATAAGGAAGAAGATATAGTGCTATTCATTGACAGAAGATTTCGTAGTAATAATAACTAGAATAGTTCAAATGGTTCTAGAGATTTCAGAAGTGGTAATTTCAGAAGTAATAATTTCAAAAGCAATACTAATAGGTTTCGATAATAATCTAATTCTTCGAATTAATAAAATCATTATTAAATATATAAGAAAAAAAAATATCGATTAACAAAGCATTCCTAAGAGGAATAGAATAAAAATTAATATAAATATCAGAAAAAGATTAAGAATAATAGTAATAATATGTTTAATAAGTACTACAATCAATAATTGATCGAATATAAGGGAGAAACTATTAATATAGAATTTGATTTAGAAATCGAAATGGAATAGTTCTTTACAGATCTTAATATTAATGATACTGAAAAAGAAGCATTTTTTGTTAGTTTAGAATCTGTAAATAGCTAAGAGATATTCAATTAGTTGTTAGTCAATACAATATTGCATACATTAATTAGAGACCCTATTGAAGCTATTCTATTGGCAGAAAGTGCAATAGATATCTTTTATACAAATTATACAAATAAGGAGTTCTTCAATATATATATCGATATAGCTTGTACAGGTAAATCTATAGTTGAGATTGGACAATATTATGTATGACAATAGGTATATCTAGTAACATATGATTTACAAACAGTGGGAATGGCGAATATACGCTTTAAAAAGGGGACTGTAATATTAATAGGTTCATTTTGTGTTAATACACTATTTGGATATATTGTTTTTCATATTGTGAATACCAATATTCCATTTTTATTGGGACTTGAGGATATGAACCAGCTTAAAGTATTCTACAACAATATTACCGACAAATTCATCAATCCAACCAGTTAATATTCTGTCATTAGGAAATGCGGGCATGCATTTTTGATATGGAAGATGAATATGGATTAGTTTATTCAAGAGTCTATTTGCTAGAATGACTACTATTTAATGATTACTAAACTACAGTATTTATATTAACAATTTGGCCACCCATCTGTACAACGTTTTTATAATATACTATAACATGCAGGCTACAACAAAAGCAATAACACTATAAAATATCTCATCAAATACTGTAAGCACTATCAAATATATAACAAGTCATCTGGATGTTTCAGGTTTATTCTACTAGAGAATACTGAATTTAATTATACTATATATATTGATGTTATATATATTACAGGCAAACCAGTTCTGCATATTGTCAATGAGATAACACACTATCAAATAACTCGGTTCCTTGAAAACGTTTCAGCTAAGTATATATTCGATATTTTTCAAAAGTGCTGGATTGATATATATATAGAACTATTAGATTATATTATTCATAATGTAAAAAAGAATTTTATGAGTAAAGAGTTTGTTTAAAATGCAAAATCTATGTCAATTATCATTAAGAGCATACCAGTTGAAGCATATAATTTTATAGACATAGTGGAGAGATATTATCACCCCTTATGCTATGTGTATAAGATTTTGATTAAAGAGCTTGAAGATAATAATTTGACGAAAGCAATAATCCTGCAAATAACAGTAAAAGCTGTAAATAATATAGCCAAACCGAATGGGCTTGTTCCCACACTGCTAGTTTATGGGATATACTCTAGATTGAGTGATATTAATTTATCAACCCTAATAATCATTCAATACACGAAAGCTATGAAGAAAGCTATGGTAGAAGTATGTTATATACAAACTAAGAGACAGATCATAGAAGCGCTCAGATTAAGGAATGGATTATTCATGACATTAGTCCTTACTCTATTGCTTAATTCATAAGTTTTAGTATAAAGAAAAGGAAAAGATGACAATACGTTAGATAAATAGACTGGATCACACACTCTGATTGAAATGGATGGGGAAATATGTAAAGTGGAATTCACTAGTGGACCGACTAAATTTCGATCTATGTCTGTACGATCTTTTTATAAAGAGTCTGAAGAAATCGAATCGAATGATGGTAATGATACAAATGGTAACGACAATGATGACACTATAGTAGTTGATACATCACGAATGGAGATATCACGACCGCAAATACCACTGCTAGCGGTACAATCAGATATGCAACTATATTGTTATATGAGAAGCAACTTGACTAATATGATCAATTTGACGGATATCGATATTAAGCTACTACCACTGCAACTAACTGTATTCTTATAAGATAATATATCTACACAATATAAGGAATCACAACACAAGGAAGTTAACAGACTAATAGAAAATGGAGTCTTTAAAATCGTTTCAAAAGCTAGTATACCATTTGGAATACGACTATTTAAATCACGATTTGTTGATGAAATAAAAGAAGAAGGTATTAATAAAGTATATGCGAAATCATAACTAATAATTCAGATATATCAAAATACAGGCAAAATCATTGTTTTGATGTAATCACTGACTATTCAATGCATTAGCCAGTGTATTATACTTGTACTTGTTATTATTTTACGAGTGTCAAATAAGTATATTCAGGTCTATTTACGGGATATCATATAAGCATATATTTAATCAACCACAACTTTGAATAGACCTATTTATATGGAAGCATTAGAAGAGGTCGGACTTGATTTCGGATATATGCTATACATTATAAAGTCCTTGTATAATATACCAGAAGCAGGAAATCACTAGTTTGGAATCTATTACAATCACTATAGGGATAGGCTAAATATGACGCAATCTATATACGATCCCTGTTTACTTTACTCTAATAACGGCATTAGCATTATAGGATTATAAATCAATGATATTCTTATAATTGCAAACGAAAGATTTGCACAATTAGAATAAGAGCAGTTGGAGAAAGCCGGATTTATAACTAAAAACAGAGAGCAATTTACCGAAGATCATTTACTTAAGTTTAATAGTGGTTTAATCATTCTTAAAGATGATAGAATCTATCTAAATCAGGAGAAACAATGTAATAATCTCCGAATAGTTATGCTGAGAAGCATTGATATACGGGGAATAAAGGGAAAGATTCGAAAGAATATTATTTCGAAGAATCAATATATCGCTCAACACATGAGAGATATATATATTGTAATAATATATTAACCAGAGATATTATATTATCTTTCAATTACTGTTTAAATAATAGATCCGAAGGAAGAAGATACTATTAAGCTTAATAAGGTTATCAATAACAAATGGATAATCCAAAAAGAGGATTAATCTTTATATCTCTTGATATAGATTCTATTGACTTAGTCATCTTTATCGATACATCCTTTACTAACAATATTGATCTATCATTGCAAATCGACTATATTATATACCTCGTAGATAAGTATAGCAATGCTAATATTATTCACTGGACGTTGATCAAATGCAAGAAAATCACTAGAAGCATACTAGCTTTTGAGCTATATGCATTAATTCTAGATTTTGATATCGGAGCTGCTATTAAGGGTATTATCAATGCTATTCTCAAACCTAAAAAGCAAATATTATTTATACTTTATATAGATTCTAAGTTACTATATAATCTATTAACTAAGCTCGGTATAAACACGGAAAAACGACTCCTAATCGATATTATGGCTCTACAATAATGCTACGAAAATAGGGAGATTACGGAGATTAAATGGATTAACGAAAAATCGAATCCTGCGGATGCCATAACTAAAAACAATGTATATCAAGCTTTAAAAGACTTGATTGATATTAATAAAATAGTTATTAAAATAATGCATTGAGTAAAAAGAGAATAGTAAAAAAAGAGCTAAGAGAATAGGAGTAGAATATTGTGCTTAAGATTGAATAATGGGCTTAGGTTTAAAGCATATGATCCATTCAACTTAAGAGTTGCCAGTGTCAGGATATCGATCATGTGATCTAAGAGGGCACTGTATTGCACTAGCGTATGTACTAGCGTATGCACTAGCGCTAGCACTTCTACTATATTAAATACTAGCTTCCCATAGTTAATAATGATCAAGACGAATAATACAATCAATCATATTGATAAGACTGAAGTACTTTACACTTTAATCAACACCAAGTTGATACCAACACCTCCACTTTATTCTTGACGGACCTACAGGATTTCACTTACTCTCTGTTCCTTTTAATATTGCAGAATTCTACCCACCTCGTGGATTTGTATTGCAAAACTTAGCAAATTGAACATTCAAGCAAATTATAAGCATCAAGCGTCAAGAATGTCCGCAGAACATGACCTTGGGTCTCAACTTTCTAATGGCACTCGAATCGTCCATGGGGTAGATTCGATAATCAAGAATGCCTTTCCAGCCGAGACAAATATCCCCGTTCAGCTTCAAATCTTCCATCTCGGCCACAGTGAAGATATCAGTATGCCGGCAATGAACGGAACGTTTGGGTGCTTACCTTTCGATATAAATACTCGGATTCCGATGCATTTTCATATGAAGGTAGCCACAGATGCAAAAAGTCGACGATATGTTGTCGAGAATATCCTCGTGCTAGATGGAGTCGCAATCGTTGAGCTTAGTGGTGAGATTTATGTTGAACTACCAGAGACTCTAGTTAGCATTGAGGGTGGCATGCCACACACTTGGACTGCCCGCCTGGCTCGGATCTGCAAGAACTTGGTATATCGCCCGACGAGCAAATCGTGTCAGATGGTCAATTTCTGACAGTTTTCCAACACGAGGAACATGCAGTTTTCCTTCCAATCAGACAATCCCAATGGTTAATACACGAATAGGATTATGAGGGCTGTGATGATCTGCACAGTGTAAGGATTCCTAAATATAAGATTGATGATTTAATCATGAATGCATGGTTTGTCTGGGTAAAATGTGATCGGAAATCGTGCGATATAAGATCTTAGAACTTGGATAATGTTTTATGTGTACTGAAAGCGTTGGAGTATTGTAGCAAACTATGAGCTTGGATGTATCTTCGTAATTTGACCTCATATATATACTCTTCAGTTAAGAGTGACTAGTTGTTAATTTTATACAATTGAAAAAATTGCAGCGAGGGTGAATAGCAGAGGAGTAGTCATTACGTGTATACCGGTAGGTGTTCTATAGAACAGGTTCTAAGGGTGTCCTTCTATATCTTAAGAAATGCAGACCTCACAGAGAAGTGGAAGTCAAGAGTTTGTTATTGACTTCACTCGATTTTCCAGATTCGGAGAAACACATGAGAACGCTAATGAGATTGATTGATTGATTGATTGATTGATTGAATTTACGTCCACCTTCAGTCTAAGACTATATAGAATAACTGGGCCTGATGGGCCCAATAGGTAACTTTTTGATTTACAATATTGATTATGATCTTATTAGGAAAATAAAAACAAATACTAGGGAACAGTACCCGCTCATTATATGCATTACATATAATAAGAAAATTCTGATAATCAAAAATTATAAAAAGATCAAGCCTTCTTTTTATTTCCTTAACTGTTTTTTTTTTTTTTTTTTCTTCTCTCTCCTCTTTCATTACTACTCCTTTCTTTATTACTTTTTATTCAGAAATCCTTATTAGATATCATACCCTTATAGCGATTTTGATGATATTGATAAATTTGATAGCTAATTCGATATTTATTTTGATATACAATAGGAATTGTATAGTGATTTTCGATAATAGTATATTCTGGAATATCTCTTTTCTTTTTGTTTTATATATAGGATAGCTAATTAGGAGGTATTGTAGTATCTCAATATTATTGTATATATATCTATTATTAGAATGATTGAATTGATATAAATATAATTTGATATATCCGTGATTTAATTTCAATTGGAAGAGTGTATTAGTAGTATTTCGATTAGTTCCAATTGGTAGCTTAATTTTCAATCCGATTTTTTATGGAAATAGCTTTGAATAGATTAATACCAATTGATTAAATCTGAGTTTATATTGATTGAAAATTAAATTTTATTAATCGAAAGAGAATTCTTTAATTATCATTTCTAACAATCCAAAATTGGTTTTATTCGAGGTGGATTATATTGTAATAGCCTCTTTTACTAGCTTATCTGCTAGCTCGTTTCTTTTAATTGATATATACTCTAATACTCAATTCAAGGATATTTCAGATTCTTTAACTATAATAACTTCGATTGTCTTGATTACTTGAATTTGGTATACTTGCTCTAAGTAGTCTGAAAGTGTTTTCAATTAAAGAAAGCCTACTTAATTATCTGAATAAACCTTGAACTTCTTTTCACTACTAACAATTGAACTAGTATATTCGATGGTTTGGGTGACTTTATATAGCTCTTCATTATAAATTAATTGATTGCTTTCAATATTGATTTGTTCTTGATATGAAATCTGATCATTCAATTATATTGATATTATCCCTATACCAATACCTATTCTCTTTTCAGTAAAAGAAGTATCTGTATAAATGTAAATAGTATTTTGATCTTTGTGTTTAAGAATAATATTGTGGAGTATTGCTGTATTTTCTTTGAAACCTGACTAATATTAACTTTGAAAGGGATTTCCTTTTTTTATAAAGGGAAATGAAAATGGATAATCTTTTCGAAAAAGAATGAATCAAATTTTTTATTAATTGATTCCCTAATTCTATCAAATTGAATTGGCTTATATAGCTTTCTTTAAAGAATATTAATTGCTTTTCAATTAGCGTATTAGTATACTAGAATAGCTTTTTCGATATTAATTGGATATTTAGATAAGAGTTTTGTTAATTGAAAAGTATATTACTTGATATTTAAGTTTAATCAAATATTTGCTGATTTTAATCCCGATTCGATTTTCATTAAAAGAATTGGAATGATTTTGAAAACTTCTAGTATCTTTTAAAAAACTAGGTTTTGAAAAGCTTACATTTTATTCTTAAAATGGGCTTATCCTTTTCATTAAATTATTAATCTATAATTAACTATATTAGTTATACAAGCTATATATAATTATCAAAGAGCTTTAGAACTTAGGCCTTTTTTAATATTTACTAGCTGAATTATTCAATAAAAGGCTCCTTTTGCTTATGTAATTCGAATATTGATATATTGATTAAATTTGAGATTTGGATTGAACCATATACCTAACCATTTAATTAAAAATTAAGGTTTAATAATATTCAAATTGGATAATATGATTAGAAAATTTTTGATTAGCTTAAATACTGAGAAGTATATTAATTCTATTTTTACTAAGTCGAATTGAATTGCACTTTTCGAGTTGAATTTGTAGATTTGCTTTATAGCTTTTTTAAGAAATCTGTTAGAAGATCATATATGAGTGATGGAAAAGCCTTAATATTATTAAGTTCTACATAACGATATGATATATATGTGTGGACTCGATAGTGTTATATGCGAGCTAATCTCGATATAGTATAATGTAATATACAGTATGAGTACCTTTTCTAATACTCCCCTATACTGATATCGTATATCTGAAGCTATATAACTTATCGAAAACTATAAAGGGTTATATTATAAGTCGGGGCTATAATTGGTCTCAACCAAGCTAAGCGGTATAATCTGTATTGTATAAATATATGTGTAGTATTTTGATCACTTTTATTCAATGAATCTCGAGAATCACTAACAAATGTCTTAAAACTAATAAATTGATTTCAATGGATACCAGAAAGTGTTTTAAGATTATAACTATTAAAACCGCTATAAAATCAATAGATCAGATTTTATATACCGCTAGAAAACATTCTTGGATTAGTAAGTAATATGATTATGGAAGTATTTGATCGCTGATAATACCTCTTTCAGAAACCAATATCTTTAATCAATTTTTTAAAGAAAAACCTCTCCTTTAGGATTATCCAATACCTAGTGTAGACGCTTCTCTAAGGGCGTAGGGATTGTACTAATGGTATAATACCTATTGACCTATAAAGCCTGTACCTCTACAACTCTTTTCTTTTAGTAGAGAAGCTGGGATACAGTTTCCTATATAATCACCCTGATTATATAGGATCTCTTAATCCTTACTTTCCTTTACAAGGGTATAGAAGATGTTGTATACTTTTTCTATATGGTGGAATGCTAGGGTACTCCCTTATAGAATGTATTCTATAACTTTTTCTCTCTCTCTTAAATATATTCAAGAGGGAATACAAAACTGATAGTAATATCCTTAATCACTTTAATCTTACTGGTCTCTACTATAAGGAATGTAGGAGATGGTTCTATTATTTTCTATTTAAATATAATAATACGTGTTCTCCCATTACCGTAGTTATCCACTCCTTCTTCATATATAGTTTCGGATTGCTTCCGGTTCTCTTTGGAATCTCCGGCTTTTTACACTCAATACCTTCGGGTCCTTATAAACCCTCCGGCTTTCTATATATTCTCTTTCTTCCTTAATCACTAGTGTAGTTATTGTTGATATAGAAGATCAAAGTCGAAATTGTATAAAGATGGTAATCGAAAAGAAAGATAATCGATCTGTGCTTAATAATATATATTGATCTGTTAGAATAGAATATATTATATAAACTATAAATAAATAAAAGAAAATCAAAATCGAAAGGAGATAAAATTAAAAACTGAGATATCATAAAATAACGGAATTGGTAAATAAAATAAATTAAATACCATAAAAACTAATATTAAATAAAACAATAATTCAATAATTATTATATTTATCAGATTATAGATATAGATAATCAGAAAACTATTGAAGAAATAAAGAGGATAATGGGAAAATTTCTGAAATAAAGAAAATCTTTATTAAATCAGATAGATTTTCATAGCTTCCTCATAAACTATATTCAAAGTATTTTCAATTTCAAGGTTTTTTATAAATAACCTTTAATTATATAAAGTTTAATCGATTTGTAAGACACTATTGGTTACTTATACCACATTATTGCTATTGATGTAAAGCTTATAAGGATTGAGATGAAGAAAAGAATCGAAAGATAGGAAATCGAGGGAATTGTATTGTAACTAGGATTCTTAAATTATTGAAAAAAGATAAAAGTAGATGGTAGTTGTTTATTAGAGCTTTGTTGCTCTCTTCAACCCTATAGATTAAATCACTGTAATACCACGCACCTGAGTATTTCTTACAGTCTCCACCATGATAGCACCGTATACTTTACAACACCACACAGAATGCCAGAATCTTACAACAGCACCGAAGCCAGATTCATTTGCTGAGCGGAGCTGCGTTCCCCCAATTGCTTAATTGTATTAGGCTAAATATCATTTGGATATCTTTAGGATTGAATTATATTTACAAAGACGATAATCTTTGGATTTGACGGAATAACTACTATCTATTGCAGCTTTAATCAAGTAACTCCAAAAGACTAATTCTAGCACCACACGAACCCGGGCTTATAACCTGTTAGAAGATTATATATGAGTTGGTGAAAAAGCCTTAATATTATTAAGTTCTATATAACGATATGATATATATATATGGACTTGACAATGTCACATACGGGCTAATCCCGATATAGCATAGTGTGATATGCGGTATGAGCACCTTTTCTAACAAAATCTAATATTCTTTTTTTATAAAAATAAGTTTGTAATTAAAGCAATATTGTTAATATAGAAAAGAAATTTAATCGATTTTGAAAAGAATAATTCTCTAATATATATTAGAAAAAGGATTGGAGAAATTAAACTACCTTATGATATTCCGATCGAAATAGGCTTAAAGGATTCGA